AATGTCAATTCGTACAGCAGTGTACCTCTCCGTTTATTAATGTTCCTCATGAAGTACACAACGTAGTTCGCATTTATTGCAAAGTTTTATAAATTCTACATGGTATCTTCATAAAAGCATAGAGGAATATATGATTTTCCCTACGCGGAATGTATACGCCTTATAGACCGAAATCGTTAAACGCTAATGCAACAGCTGGTGTGAGTCAAAATTATTCGCAAACTGGAAAACCTTTTCAAAACCCAAATATGCCCTTTCTATGAGCATATGATGTGAGGACGGTGTAATTTACTATCAAGAGAACATATTTTTGTGCATGTTTTCTATAAAATATATTTGAATTTTTAAGTCCATCGAAAACCAATGAGAAAATGCGTGCAAATTAAGTAGTTACTCACTACTTAGTGCAGTTTTTACAGGGGTCACAAAGAGGTGCATTCACAAGTCAACATCACGGCGAGCCCAAGAAATTATGGGATTAGACCGCATGATAAGAAATATTACAACCCCACCTAAGTTATCCTTCCTAATCGAAAACGCATTTCTGAATTTCGGCCAATATTTCATGAGACCGGTCTCAGACTGTAGTCATCGAAGTATGAAATGTTTGGCACTATCAGCAGGCTAAATGTCTGGTGCGACTGTGCCGCTGACTGGTGTCAATTTATTTGGCGAACACTAAGCAATTATGTAGTGGCCGGTCTTTCTAGGCCGAAAGCCCGCCAGGCTCGATCCCCGGTCGAGGTGTTTACAACAGAAAACCCATGAGGATCCCCGAAGGGCCGAGTCCTTTGCAGTTATGTCATGTGGCGGCATAAAATTGACGAAAAACATGTCTGGGCCTTGGGTTTGTCTTCAAAATATACGTATGTGTTATGATAGTGGGCGCTCACCGATCAGGTTACGGAACATGCTCGTTCCGTTGTGCCCTGGGGCTCATACTAGAACCCTCGCAGGCAGTCGCACAGCGACTAGTAGTAGATATAGATGAGATGGTACCGATGGTACCGGGTTCGAATCTCAAGTGATCCACACTTGGGGTTGGGTATGACTGGCTGATGACGGCTAATAAGCCAGAAATGGCCATTCCGGTCTCCCTTGTCTTTGTCGGTACCATCTCATCTATACGTATGTGTATATTTATGGTAAATGGGCGCTCACCGGTCGGGTTACGGAACTTGCTCGTCCCTTTGTGCCTTGTGGCCCAAACAAAACCCTCACAGGCAATCTCAGTAATAGAGGCACATCAGGTGGTAGTTTGAGCCCCAGGGCACAATGATACGAGCACGCTCCGCAACCCGACCGGTGACCATCCGTTTGCTCCATCAAAACCGATAGGACAACAGGGCCGTGACTCAATGGTAGATTGTCACACTCAGTGAACAAAGATCCCGGTTTCGAATTTCAGCTGATCCACGTTTGGGATGGGGGTATGACTGGGTGATGATATCTAATAATCCAGAAATGGCCTTTGCGGTCTCCCTTGTCTTTGTTAGCACTACCATCTATACATGTATACTACTTAAGTGGCATCCCCCCAAGTCACCGATAAGTGGGAAAATTAGCAGCCGAACTCCGGCATGTTAGGTAGCGTAGAAGTCCACTTAGGTGATTTTTTTAAATGTAGAAGTATATTTGTCGATTTCGGTCCATGTTTGACGTGTTTAGGCGCCTAGCGTATTACCGTCCGACCCCCCCTCTCCGCCCTGCCGCCCATCTCACCTTCGGTGTATTGTTTCATTATTCTTGTCTGCTAATGCATTTTAGAGCTCTCAGACAACGATTCGTTGCCTCCTCTTTATTACCGTGCGTCTCCTCACCTGGCTGTCCGATCTCGTCTTCACCGTCTCCGAATTCCTTCATTCGGCTGAATGCAATGCTTTGGAACTGAAGTCACTCCTTCTTCCTCCACTCTTCGTCCTTTCTCTCTGGCTGAAAGAGCAGCATACTTCCCTAGGTAGACTGCCGTTTAAATACCACTGTACTAACATTTATGCCTGCAGCTTGAATGGATATAGCTCACTTTAGGAGAAACCTCATTGGTTTACTTAAAAAAACACTCAATTTAGCACGTTTCTGGCCATAATTAACGGAGTTTTTGAGACTGGAGGAGGCAGAATTGTCTCCTTATTCGATGCTGTTCGAAGGGTTTTCACAATCCTCCGAAATTATCTGTAGACCAGACGCGACATCTCCATCACCACAAGGGTCCGGACGCCCGTTGGATTAGTCGTCTGTAGGGTAAGGGATACGATGTAGGCCCCTAAGTATCTGCGGCATACACAAAATGCCTACTGTGTTTGTTTAAGTAGGTCGTATGTTATTCACCAATTTCAGACGTCTGTCACTGACGTTACGTTTCACCCTCTCTGTGGTTGTGAATAATGGGCTGTGAGCGTGGAAGATGAACGAAAACTGGAGGTGTTTAACCACTACTGCTGCTCGAGGACCATCCTTCAAGTGAAGTACAATGACTTCGTCTCAAATGAGGCAGTCCGCACTTGCGATATAACACTGCGGAGTTATCTCTGGCCGTCGAAGAAGGACTAGATCACGGAGGATGTCGGCTTTAGCAAATACTAGCTACCTTGATTTAGCGCAACGTCCGCGTCCACAGACGTTTTACTGTCTTGCAGTGTGCATTTGGAACCTTACAAGTCCTCTTCGAAGTCGGGTATAGCTGTATCACTGGATGCTGGAGTTGTTCTCAGCACGAAGATACTTTCACCTGCCTTTGTAGAGACCATACCCTCTCTACAGAAGGAAATTTTTTCGCGAATTTTTGCATCCGGGCTCCGATAGAGATGAACGGATGTTTCACCTGTCGCCTTATCCTTGGAATTTATGTTTTAAGACTGAAACCTCTCCTTCAAGTTGGCGTGCCCACCCTACTGAGTTCGTGACGTTATTGGTTGACCTCAGCGACGCCTATGAGTGCTGCTGCTCTCTCTCTCTCTCTCTCTCTCGCTCTCCTGAACATTCAATACATCTCGCCAAGGCCGACACAGGAAGGCCGATCTCTGACCCATAACTGACTGACCTTGATGTATGCCCCTCATGGTAATATACATAAACGCTTTATTCACCCTTTGCTGGGAGTTATTGAGACAGTGACCTTGGGAGGTCTAATCCGTCAGTGCTGGGGTCCTACATGGAGGTCGATCGTAGCATCGACATCCCCGTTTTTCCTTGCGTCGTTGGGTAGCAATTGCGGATTGAATATTAATTTTTATCGGAGATAGACCCGCCGCAGATCATTTTTTACAACTCGCCTTCCCGATTAACCCCCCCTCACCGGTTCCTTTTTTTTCAGGACCGTCCAAGTTCTCCGATGTTGACTTTTTGGAGTACGCACCACCGGTGGGAGAGTCGGTGATCGAACTGCTCAACACCCTTTCGGGCTTATTGGATTCACATTCACAGCCTCGGGATTCCAACTTGGAAGTGCAACCAAGGGACGAGCAATTGCTTCTGCTTCCAGAAGTGTTTGCCCTACGTGTAAGAACACGACAGAATTATATCCTGTTACGAAGTCTTGAAATTCCAAAGCTAGCAGTGGTGCTGGTAAATGGTTTTGGCATTGCGCAATGCGATCATAAGCTGGCCAGGTGGCTGGGTATGGCTGACTGATGACGGCTGAAAGGTCAGAAGTGACCATTCCAGTTTCCCTGGGCTTTGCCAGCAATGCTGTTGTGCTCCTTTGCGCTGTTTTTGCTTGACGTAGTCATTCCTGACAGCAGAAACCAACAAATCAAAACGCAACTAGGGAATGAGGTCGCATTGTCGGTTCGTGCAGTGATTTATGCCATGAGGGCTGGCGGTTATGTGTGCGACGTCTCTTGGCAACGCGGGAATAGGACCCCCCACATCCCGGCGGCTTTGCGCTAACTTCCAGAGAGATTAGAGTTGGCGTTAAGGTTAGAGTTGGAGCCAAGTCTAGTTTTAGGGTTAGGGCACGGGATTACTTACCCCTCCTGAAACTTTTCGCAAGGTCACTTATTCCCGCATATCTTCCGTCTCTTGCTGTCATGCACTGCATTTCGTGCGTGACGTTTTTTATTGGATTGAAAGGGGTGTATATCGGTCTGCGACATTCAATCCCTTAGACCGATGATGTGATCTCCCTGGACTAAGTTGTTTGGAACAAACGCCATTATGCGAAGCACATTCGACGACGTAAGTACAGTAGGTGTGCCAACTCATGAAATGTCAACCAAATTTTCGAAATGCGTTCTCGTTTCGAGAAGATAAATTAAGTAATGTTGTAAAACTGATCATGGTGCAGCATAAATCTTTAATGATCCAGTTACCTCAGGGTGTCGGCTTTCGAAAGAACTTATTTACGGCTGCATGCAAAATCTCTACTATGCAAAAATTGACTACTTAAGTAGTATGACAACTTCTCGTTGATTTTCGATGCCCTTGAAAATTCAATTATATTTCATGGAAAACATGCATAAAAGTATTCATTTTTTACTTATTCGGTAGAAAATCATGTCTTCTTCCAATTTCGTACTCAAAAGAAGAGAATAATTCGGTTTTAAAAAAGTTTCGAATTGTGAGATTTGTTAATACCGTTAAATGGCCGTTCATGATACGTCATGTATCTGCATTTACGAATGTGGCTTGTAAAGTTAACAATATTGCTCAAATCCACTGCTTAATTTTATGAATCTCATATGGTCTCCTCTTAACACCCTAGAGAAATGCATGGTTTTCCGCACACGGAAAATATACAGCTTGTAGTTTTGAAACCTTGAATGCAAGTGTAACAGCAGGTCGCTTTCGAAATTATTCGGGAATTAGAAAAGTTTTTAAACCGAATTATACTCTTGTTTTGAGTAAGAACTCGTAAGAAGGCGGAATTTTCTACCGAATAGGTAAAAGAATGAACATTTTTATGCATGGCTTCCATGCAATAGAATTGAATTTCCAAGGGCATCGAAAATCAATGAGAAAATTGCATGCTACTTAAGCAGTAATTTTTTGCAGAGTATAGATCTTGCATGCAGCCGTAAATAAGTTCTTTCGAAAGCCGACACCCTGAGGTAACTGACTCATTATAGATTTATGCTGCATCATGATTAGTTTTACAATACTACTTAATTTATCTTTTTGAAACGAGAACGCATTTCGAAATTTCGGTTGGCATTTCATGAGTTAGCACATCTACTGTAAGAGATCCCCTTTCGCAAATTTTGCCGGGCTTGCTTGGTTTAACCTGAAGTTCATGCTTCTACAACTTCGTCGAAAAATATTTTGTCAACAACAGCCGTCTTCCGCCCAGACCAGACTATTTGGAGTTTACTTCGATTCATTATCATGGGGCGAGGGTGGGGGGAGGGGGAGGATCGTTCACCAATCGGATTTACGGGACATACTTGCGTCTTGAGGTTGAGTGACCAAAAATATATACAGGAAGAAATACCGACAAAAGCGAAAGGGACTAGGATAGGCCGTCATCAGCGAGCCAGCCATGCCTGAACTCGCTCATGCATGTCGGTATGCCGTCTGTATTTTAGGGAAATGATGACTCATTTTTCCATTTCCAAAACCCCCCTATCCTTGTTGCATTTAGGGTTTCACCCCTCTGGGTTTGCCCTCAGTCAAAGTGGATCCCTCAACTACTCTGGAGGAATTACATCCCGAACGCCTGCTAGACTTCTCCGCGCCGATGCCGGCACCTCTGCTGCTTCTGCGAGCTAGGCTTGTTCTTCAGAATTTCCGGTTTGTCCGCTTTGTTTTTTTCCCGCTCGTGTTTGCCGAATCTCAGGCGACATGGACCTCTTTTTTACTGATACCCTCTTGCCTCGGAGACCGGCGGCCTCGATAAACTTGTCTGTCGGAGCCGAAGTGGAACGACCAATCAGCAAGTCTGCCCCTTGCCGATTACAGGCACTTTTCGTTTTCTGTCGGACTGCCCTGTGACTAAGGTCTGGCCTTACGTCCCTCGGCGCAATTCAGGATGATGGCCTGCTTGCCATGAGAGAACCTGCTCGTTATATTTCGCTACAGTGCCATTCTTGTCTCCCAAGGGTAGCTAAACCGCTGTGGTCACGACTTCTCTGGAGTGGCTTGGGAAGCTGTTTTAAAAGCCAGTACGCACGAACCGATTTCTGCATATGTCGTTGTGAGCCCATCCTATCAATTTTTCGTAGATGAGGACACATTTAAGGCAGGCACATTTAAGTCCCAGGAAGTAGTCTTTAAGAAGGAGAAACGATCGCTGGGACAAGAGCTTTATTAGCCTGACGTTTCGGATTCCTGCTCGAACTCAAAGCAGATACGGGTGGTTCATGCACATGGGGCTGCAGTATTTATAGGATGCAGTCGTCATGCTACTGCATACCTATGAATATTCACGGCTCCCCCCTTCATCCGGGATCGTTGCACTTTGTGTGTTAATTGTTTGATGGCCGACATTCGCGTCGTTAATTGCTTCAATCTCATCACGTGCGTTGGATGTTGGTGTGGTGATTGATCGACCGTCTGACACACTGACCCCGGTGTTGGGAAAAGTGTTCATCTGTGCGTTTCCCGCGTGGCTAATTACTCCGCCTAGGCGAAGTCTCAGCACCGAGTATGGAAGACGAGGTTCATTGCACTTGTAAATTGACTGGGGCCAGTAAACCATGATTCCAGTAGCTCCCGGCTCACACGGTTTTCACTTCTTGCGAGAATTTCGACCTTTTCGAATTTGAATGTGTGGCCGGATCTCGTCGAATGAGCCGCAACTTGAGAGCTGGCGTCACCTCTCCGCACCGCTGCAGCGTGTTCATCCATTCGCGTTCGGAGCTGTCTTCCGGGAGCTACTTGAATATGTTTTACTGACCCCTAGTCCATTATCAAGTGCAATGACCTTCGGCTACCATACTCGGTGCTGAGACTTGGCCTAGGCGGAGTAATTGGTCACCCGGGGAGCACGCAGGCGAACACTGCTCCCAACACCATGGTCGGTACGTCACATGGTCGAGCAGTCATCACACCAACATCCAACGCACGTGATGAGATTGCAGTAATTAACGACGCGAATGTCGGCCATCAAACAATTAGCACACCAAGTGCGACGATGCAGGATGAAGGGGGGAGTCGTGAATTTGTACTTCTATACCATGAATTTTTCCCATTATTTTTCGATGCCCTTATAAATTCAAGTACATTTCATAGAAAACATGCACAAAAACATTCGTTCTTTTACTCATTCGGCAGAAAATTACGTCTTCTTCAAATTTCATACTCTAAGGAAAGGCATAATTCGGTTTTAAAAAACCTTTCCCATTCTCGAATAATTTTGAACCAGACCTGCCGTTACACTTGCATTCGGCGTTTCGAAACTACTATCTGTATATTTTCCGTGTACAGGAAATCGTACATTTCTATACTCTATTGGGAGGAGACTTTGTAGGATTCAGTACATTTAGCAGTGGATTTGAGCCATATTGTAAACTATACAAGCTACAGTAAATGCAGAGACACGATGTTTATGAACGGGGACTTGACGGTCTTAAAAATCTCGTAGTTAGTGATTTTTTAAAACTGAATCACACTCCTTTTATAAGTACAAAATTTAAAAAAGATATGATTCTCTACCAAACGAGTAAAAGAGTAAATATTTTTGTGCATTTTTTCTACAAAACATAATTGAATTTATCAGGGCATCGAAACTCAATTAGAAAAATTCATACTACTTAAGTCTCCATTTTTACAGAGTGCCGTTCTTGCTGGCGGCTGGGAAGAAGTTCGTTTAAAAGCCGGCATCGCAATGCAACTGAATGATTACACTGCAAGCCGATTAACATAATGCTACTTAAGCAGTATTTTCGAGTCGAAAACACATTTCAGAATTTCGGTTAACATTTCATGAGTTAGCACACCTACTGTGTATGACGATCTACCACTTTGAAGTCTCGCCAGGGGCGATAAGAGGTAGCCCAGGACTGAGGTAAATTTTGTGAAGTTGCGTTGTGCAGAGATGCGTGGCACTAATGCGGCAGTGAGTAGACTTGTTTCGAGCGTTTTTTTACGAACGATGAGACGGTACGCGTCTGAGGATCGAGCGCCGTTGAAAACTCCATATTTCTCCGAGTTTTTAGACGTTTTTTTTCGGTCCATCCTCCAGTCTATGCGAAAAGCATCAAAACCTACGTTTGGGTGGTAGGAATTAGCTGGGCAGCCGCCCCTTACGCCTCCGCAACCGGCTGTGATGATCTTTATGACAGTCATTGGTCATGACTCTGAACCTGTTTCTGTCGGCCTGTCATCTTAGTGCTTGGTAGGGGGGACGCAGTTCGACACGCCTGTTTCCCTTTTCTCGCGTTCCGATCACTTTGCGCACGTGCAGTCGTGCGCCCGCCCGCCTTGTCGGCGAAGTCGGAGGTGTGGACTTGCTTTGGACTGTGTAACTCCACATTTCCCATTCCTCGAACGGCTCCCTCGAGAGCCCATCCGCAGACCATAATAAGCAAAACATACTTCTGGGTGCTCGTATATTCCTCCACAGTATTCGCTCGGCGTCTGTCTGTGACTTATTCCAAAGACAGCCAGTCTCTACATCTTCCCTTCTCCCGGACGTTTTCTCGCATTCGCGTGTGTTTGTCAACTTAACCTGCCAGGGTTTGGAAACCGAGGGCCTCTTCGATCTTATATCTTGTTTTGCATTTGTCACAGACTTTTCTGACCTTTGTGAGCTCAACGATAATTGCTTTCTTGCTCGTCCTTCTCATGCATTCACCTCCTCCACCTCTCCTTCCGTGCATTTAAAGCTGGCTGGCGGTGGAATTTCCCAGTCTCCTGTCTTGGCGCGATACAGACTCTGCCCTTGGCGGCACCTTTGAGGCGGTACACAGGGAGACCGTTAACCTGCCCACAGTCCTCGCCGAGGAAGTTCTCGATGATCACGATGAGGTATGTCCCTCCTCAGAAGTCGCTTCATCCACCACGAATACTGTCACTGCTCAACCCCCCGCTCCGACTCTTGAGACGAACGACCACGAGGCGGTGCCAGAGACTGTGGAGACAAAACCGCTCTCGACCGATGCCCCTGCCCGCACTCTAGAAGACGCGGCTCCTCCACAGGTGGATGATATGCTTCCTGCCCTGGAGGTGATGAAACTCTCTGGCCAACCTGATGCGGATATTGAGGTAGGTATCCCAAGGATCTCGAGTACCGCCCATGCGGAATGAAACCTTTTCATCCTACAGGTTCTGGCAGGATGCCTTTCCGATTGAACTCTGCGTTCATTGTGCTTGTAAAGATGTTACTACTCCAATAAGTGGAGCCCACAATGGGCTGCTCCGCAAGTTCGCTGAAGGTCGAACTGACTCACAGCGCGTGATCGTTGGGCTGCTCCGCGTCCAGTCGAGTCCATAACTACGACCGTGCATGCATGTGTTGGCTTGCCTTAGACGTAGGCTTTACGCCACGTCGGTCATTGCGCCCAACCTCGTTTCACCTGATCGGATAGCTTGGCCATTCCCTGGACTGAAACTTAGGCTTAGTACCTCTCACCCACGTGAGCTCCGAGCTGCCCTCACAGAGGTCTGGTACATGTACAGGGGATCGGGTTGTGTGTGGCCCGTGTAGACTGCCGCTTAGCTCTGCCGGCCACTGCTTTCGCGCTAACCCCCGGTCGCCTTGGCGTTGCCTCGCCATCGGGGCAAGGTGGATGAGGGAGGAGTTAGTGCGATAGGTGCTGAGCAAGCCCGTTCCACAATATGCTAATTTACGCGCAGATCATCTGGTGTTGAGCCCACGCCTCGAGGCACGCCCTGGACGTCGTCGCTTGCGACCTTCTGACGGTGGAGCGCATTCTATAAAGGTGAATGGAATTATGTTCGAATCGGATTATTTAGGTCTAACACTCTCTAGGTTTGAAAGGCGTTTTAAAACTGAAGTAGAGTAAGAGGCTTCTGCATTTTGACTTTTTCTCGCGAACTCCTGCTTCTTTACAACCACGCATTGCCCCCTCTTTCTTCTTTACTAGCAGTCAACAAGTCAATTTCTGGGTGGTTATACTAATAAACTTGAATCTGACTTCGCACATCGTCCTCAGCAAGGGGACGAGTCCCTGCCTGGGTGCTGGCAATCGGTGTATGTTCAGTTGTAACTTTAAAACGGGTTAGAATAATAATCTTGACTACTTAACGTAAGTAAGTAGCGTGTATTGGGAAGGTATTTTTATACTTCACATTTAATTAACTGTGCATCCGTCGAGGGTGCTTAGGCTCCCCGTAGACTGCAATTTATATATTTCCGTAGATTTTAACTTACCCATCTCCTCCATCCCTACCGCTCCTAGACCGCCTCTTCTGAAGTCTCTAACCCTCCAGCTGCAGAGCCTGAACCACCTTCAACTCCGCCACCACGACCGCCGTCCGCGCTCTTGGCCCCAGTTGAAGACGCGACTCACCCAGAAGGCGAGTCCACAGTAGAATGCACATCTGACGTCCTCAATCAGCCGGATGCTGTCGAAGAACCGACTGAGCATCAGGCAGCCCCAAAAACCAGCAACGACGTTGACGTCGCCGCGACCACTGCCATCACCGAACATGCTAGGGGCTTCTGCAGCGGTGGCCTTATTGTCAACGCCGAATTGGCGCGATTTATCCAGGAACAGGCCAGCCAGGCAAGGGTTTGCTTCTAGGCGTTTTCTGTGTCCGACAGTTTGATTTTACTCGTAAATTCTTGGTTCAATTCGTGTGTTCGAGTTTTTACAAATCAGATTGTGCCCGAATCATGCTCCACAATATCCCCTGTGGACTTGACACACTACCTGCCTGGTTCGTCATCAGGGAGGAGAACTTCCAGTAAAAACAAGACCTATATTGGCCGTTCTTTCTTCTCTAGGACTAGGACTTGATCCTCGGTACATGACACAGATGCCGATGACGCATCCATGAGCAGTCTAATCCGTGCTTTGATCGCGCCTATCTGAAATAGTTTTTTACCGGATTTAATTTGACCAACTTTCCACACCTTAACTCAGAGTTCATCTGACGACCTTTGTCCATCGGAGCTCAAATTACGCGAAAATGATCACATGCTGTTGCCTTCAAGGGCGGCCATCTGTTCTGTGTCTGTTACGCATAGGCACGGCATTTTACACTCGCACGAACCGTTGTCTCCATTTCGCATTAGTTTTCAGCTCCTAAGCTCTGCATCTTAACTTGGCGCGCTACATTCTACTTCACTACGCTTTTCCGTACTCCAACTTGTCTGTCCCGAGTGTTGTGCTATTTCCGACGACGGGCTGCGTTGCAGACGCGCTGAACCAAAGCGGGACCAACTTGGCTCACGAAACGCGTTAATCAGGTCGCGCTGATTCCGTATGAGGCCACAACTGCTGCAGTATAGGCGTGTGGTACGTCCTAGACGCAGGTGTTCTCGCTGTGTTAGCCGTTGCGCCCGACAGCATCAGTTTGAATGAATGATGGGGGAATGGTAGGGTAATGATCGAGGGGGCCCACATTAGGAAATCCATCCCCACGGCACATGAGCTCCTTCCTCACATTAAGAACTCTGGTGCCCTTAAATGTATCGGAAAGCGACAAGAGTCGTGGTCTAGAAGGCTGCCAACTGATGGGATAACGCAGTTCTTCTCAAGACGGTGAGTCAGGCTGCAGTGTCTCCTCAAGGTGGCCTTCATGACATTCTCCCTCACGTGAAATCCCAATTCCTCCGCAGCAGCCTAGTGACCTGGAGCGAGTGCGTGGCACGCGTAGACGGGCTATTTAGCTTTGTCATACACTGCGCCCGAACCCACCTCTGAATGTCTTGGCATAGCCGTCGGATCAATGCGGGTGAGGAAAGAGAGTGCGCCTTATTATAAACAAATTTACACCCAAGCCACCGGTGCTGCCTTTGCTCCGTATGGGCAGGCGATTTACGTCGCTTGCGACGTCCCAACTATTGTATATCGCTTTACGTCTGACTCTTTGCTCAAGCTGTTAATTAGGGTAGATTGCCAACTCGCTCATCCCCTCGGGTGATTTGGATGTAGCGCCGTACTTTTAAGTTTAGCAAATGCAGACTTGCTATCTTGCAAATTTTGACTATGTGGGTCAATTCTCAGTATTCTGGGCATTCAGATATGCTGGTCTGCATCCGCTTGCTCACAAGTTCCGCCCCCCCCCCCGGTTGGCCCAAACTATGTGAGCTAGAATGAGGGAACTTTTTCAGTGTCTATCAGTAGCATTGTGTTACCTCCCACGTTTTTTTGTTCAGGTTGCCGCCCGTCAGAGTAGCCAGCTGACTTCGTCGGTGACTCAATTCCCTGCAGACAAATCCTCCGTCAACACAGGTCAACGATCAGATAGTGGCACCTCCTCGCACCTCTCCTCACGGGCTCTTTTCCGCAAAAATTTGCCTCCGCGCTTCCTTCGTCGTCTACACGCTGAGCAACAGGAGCGGGAGATGAAGGAGAACTCTGTGGTGAGTGTCTTTTCTCCGTTGGGAGAGTGGCGGCCATCAGGGTTAAGTAGCAATGACCCTCCGGTCCCACCTGGGATCCGTTTAAGCATCTTACGCCAGGCATCTGGGAGGGGAGGAGGAGGTAGGGGATCTGTGTTGGGACGGTTTTATTCCCTGTCTGACTTCCGCAGTCGTCTGGTTTTCTGTTCCCCCCTTCCCCAAAGGCTCTAGCGCACAAGATCGCGGAGTTAACGTGACGCAGCCAAGGTCGCCCCCCTTCTACTCCTAGTTACGCGATGTTCCTGTCGTTAGCTTTCTACACTACTGATTGCGACTATCCCCCGAGGCCTCGGGCTGCTGCTTCGAGACAAAGCTGAGAGTGTTCCATCCTGTAGTTGTGAATCCAAGTGCACCTGGTCGCGGCCGGTCGGACTGTTTAGTCCATGGTTTAAGGGGCGACGCTGGTCTCGATTGATTTACTACCCACAGGAACCAGGTCCAACCATCTTTTCGCCCGGTTTTATGGCCGGCCGAGGTGAGAAGATAAGCCAGAAGCGGTCGTTCAAGTCCTCACTTGGCCTGGCGCTGGACTGTTGTTGGTTGGCTATTTCATCAGATTGGCGGGCGCACGTGTGCCAGAGATGACAAACTGCTCAAAACCCCGGGCAAATGATGATCTTGTTTCAGTAGACTCCCTCCTTCGGCCTCGAAATGACACCATGGAACCCTCCCATTTGTTGAAATTATAACATGACTTTCACATGACTGTGTCTGATCGATATGCGTCCGCCCACGCTTTTCCCAACGAGCCTGTCACAGTGCCTCTCCGTTTAGAGGACTGACTTCTTATAGAATTGGTTCTGCATCTTTGTATACCTCCGTTAGCCGGTATTATCATCGAATTTAAGGAAGTCTTTAATGGGAACAGTCACTTCTGCGTACGCCAGGGGCCATATCTCGTAAAATACGACTGAACCACAGGCTGTATTTCAGTTGGTCGACCACCAGAACCCAGGTTGGAGGCCGTCGATCCTTCGCTATCGTCGCAGTGCGGCTGTTTCCTCTTTTTTTAACAGTTTATCATGCCAACTTGTCTCTGACTTGGCAATCGGTCGTCGTAAGCTTTCGCAAGTGTTGCGTATCATGTCGTCTGTTTCGCGCAAAGTGTGTTATCGCAGATACCTGGGACTCTGGCGCACTCATTGGAATCCAAGCCGCCCCCTGCTTTGTACTTGTAGTATAAAATCCTAGCCAAGTCTTATTGTAGACAAGAGAGTGTGGTGGTGGTGCGGTTTACACCCTGCCATTCACCTGCGCACCCTCCCGCCTCCGGTATTCTTGATTCTATCTTGAAATCGGGTCCACTTGGGGGAAGAGGGAGTGCTGTAGATGCTGCGCAAGTCACCGTCCCTGCTCTCACCCTGCTGTGGAGCACACGGCGGACATCACCGGTCACGACGGTAGAACTGCCGTGTGCGTCCAGAGGAGATTGATGCAGGTGCAACGGAAGTCAGCTTCATCATAAAACAAGTTCGCACGTAAGTCGCCACTGTGTTCACCACATGGGGAGGAGAGCGAGTCAGTGGTGGACCGCGTCTCTTAGTCACCGAATTACCATGTGCGTGCATGTTGTTCCAAAGCCCAGACTAGGAGCCGTATTACCTCCCGTAGTCGGAGTCCCCAGCCTTAAATAGTCTACTGTGTCACCGAAGGAGAGACAAATTGTTAACTCTTGCCAACATGAGTGTATTCGTTTGCCTTTATCGACTGATTCAACTCTAAACTGGCATATCACTCGTCGCTTTAGCTGCGGTTTCGGTAAGATGTGGTTATACAGCCACATCTGATGGACACAATACTGTTAGGTCTTAGGGTTAGGGGTTAGAGCAGCTATTTCTCAACCGCTCAAAGTACAGCCACGTACTCCCAATAGCAGGAGGACGGCGTTCCGCTGGTAAAGCAGTCGATTTATGGGAAGTAAGTTAAACTGATAGGCTGGGAGTCCTAAAGACTGCTCGCGACACAAGGTATCTGTATCCTCAAAACACTGTCAGAAAGGTTCATGCCGCCATGCAAGTTTGAAGAAAAATTGCACACACGATGGGTGTCTACTCCATAGAGCCCATATTGTTGCATTTGGTTTTGTGGCGCCTACATTGCCGTTAAGACGTCCATGGACACAATACTGTTAGGGGTTAAGGTTTTGGGTTAAGGCAGCCACTTTTCAACCACTCAAGGTACAAGCGCGCATTCTAAATAGCTTTTATTTTGCATAAAATTACTTGACCTCGTCGCCTGTGCGTTCGCCGGCCCCACCTGTAAAAAACCCTATCACCACCGGTCCCGTATTACAGGTGCCTGGGGTTTGTTTACCTGAGGTGCGACTCTACAACCACATCTGACCGCGTTTTCCATTTTGATTGGCTATGTTGTCCTCCTCTGTTCCGAGGATCTGTTTAACGGCATTCTTCCCCCCTCCCCCCCCCCACGTACAACGCTTAACATTCCATTAAAGAACCTGACTCGTTTGGACCAGCCCGCACCACTGGCACTGAAAGAGTCGGAGGGCAGTTTTCTGGAGCCTGCACCCCTGACCGGTCCTCAGGCGCCTTTCAACATGCAGTCCACCGTAAGTTGGTCCCCATTTTCTGCACTCGTGAACTTGCATTTTACTCCCATTAGCCCACTTTGCTGTCTTGGTAGTCTTCTTTTGAGATTATCCTGCTGTGTTGTGTCAGTTCGAGAAAGAGCTTTGGATGGGATCATTTGTCCGTCGGCTGCTCCAACCAGGACGTTCGAATCTTTGTCCTCCGGTCAGCTATAAACTGGTGCAATGGATGGCTCACCGGCCATCGTGGGGTTCGGGAGAATTGGCTTCCAACGCTTCCTGCATTCGATTGTTGATATCTCAGTCTTCCTCCCTATGACAAACGTGGTGGCGACGGATGAGGCCGTATTAGATGTTTCGCAACGGTCGTCGCAGTTTGTGGCCCCTTCGTAGTGAGCCCTATTTCCTAGATCTCTGTGTCCAGCCATACTGCTGCGTGGTCTTTGATTGGAGACCGTTTCACCTTCCGTGATATATGAGCACGCCGTGGAACCAGCAGGCAGTCTTCATCACGGGGATTCTTGTTGTTCAGGTCAGAAGGGAGTCATCATTGGGGGCTTGACGGTCGCGTCACCTGCCCTTCCGTCCACTGGCGGTGGCGGTTGTCATTTCTCGTATTCGGCTGATGAATCATCGAATGCGTTCATAAGGAACGCTGTCCATCCGGGTAGATAGGGGGCCGGAACCAGTTTCACAATCAGTGTTTTTTGGCAGAATAAAATTGCCGACATAGACAGGGGAGATTGGGATGGCCTTTTCTGGCTTATTAGACATCGTCAGCTGGTCGTACCCTACCTCGAAGTGTGGAACACCTACGACTCACTTCCACGAACCGTAGAGGGGCGCTCACCGATCGTTCTACCATTGTATATTCCCGATCGAAACCGACAAGACGACGAGCTCGTGGCTCAGTGGTTAGAGGCGTTGAACTTCTAAACTAACAGGTCGCGAGTTCGAGGCTCGGGTGTTCCACACTTCGGGCTTGGGTATGGCTGGCTGACGTCTAATAAGCTAGAAATTCGCCGCTATGCGGCCGCTGGTTGGGCTCGAGAGAGAGAGAGAGCCCCAGGGCACAACGAGACGAGTGACATCCGCGACATGATCGGTGGGCGTATCTCTGTCATGAGTGTTTTTGTCAGCTTCGGTGGGGGTATGTTACGTAACCCCCTCCCCTACCTCCCACCCTGAGTGGACGTCCAGAGCTCTACCTTTTTACCTTATTTAGCTAGGTGTTATTCATAACGGGTTGCCTAGTAATAGGTCACGAAAGGGGTTGTGCGAAACGCAGATTATGACCGGCACTAGCGTTACTGACGTCAAAGTTTCCCTTATCGGGCTCAAAGTTAGCTTCAGGGTTAGGCTAGGGTTAGTGTTAAGAGCTGGCTTATTCTTAGGGCCAGGGTTGGCAGGCTTAGGTTGTGGTTTGGATTTGGGGTTCAAGCCAGGTTTTGGCCTTTTGTTCTAGCGTTGAAGATTCAGGATTATGGCTGGCGTATCAGGACTAGCGTTATAAGGCAACTCGTAAAGCTCAGGACCAAACAACCACACCGGACTTAAGAAGGCCGCACGGAGATAGCCCGACGCTTAGTTTACTCGGTGAGGAAGAAGAAGAACCGCCAGACCACCCGTCCAATCAGTTCCCCTCGACGGAGTGGTGACTCATAAAGCGCACAGGCAAAAACGCCCGTCAACCATTGCCTGAGAGGCCGACGCAGCGTGAGGAGAGAGAAAAATCGATCAGCGTGAGGCCGGCCAACACGACTGCCACTTTAAATTAAATTTCTGATCGATTAAGTGCATTTTACGCTTTGACAATGAAGAGCCGACCCAGCTCTCTTAAATAAACCTCTTCCGGAGAGCCTGTCTTCGTCTTCAATTATAAGGCAACTGTTCAATCTCCATCCAAATCTATCCTAACCACGTCAACGTAACATGTAGATAGTCTCTGTAAATACTGTTTGCTTTCTCGAACTTAGCCCTACGCCCGCATCTTCACTCATTTTTAGTTTGAACCAACGCCCCAGCAGTACCCCTGTCCGCCGGCCGGCGCGTCCTCCACCGCGAACGCCTTCATGTCGGCCCCCAAAAGACCGCTCTTTCCTGCCACCACCTTTCCGCCGACCGCTTTTCCGCCCGATGGATCGGCCGTCTTCTCGCCCACAATACCACCGCCGATGCCTTTGACTCGGCCATCACCGTCGCATTTGGCCACCGCCGCTGGCTACAAGTGGCCGCCGGCCACTTGGCTACAGCCAGGGCTCTCAGTTCAGCCGTGAGTCATTACGATTATTTGTCCCTCGTATACGACATCAGGCATTTTCATCTAGCTGTGTTCGTGGCTTTGGCGATGAACCTGAGGCTTTGAGGTCACGATTCGACATAATGTAGAGCTGCACCTTTAAGGTCCACTCTATGGTGAATCTGAAATCAGTAAATAAACGCGACCTATCGCACAATGTTGCCCTATCAAGAAGATCAGCCTAGCCATTGACTCCGCTGTCAGAGGTAGATGATTAGTATGCTTAGCAATATGGGCTAGCGGATGGAGTAATCTATCAAATCTTAGTCGGGATCGTGGCGTTGAATAATGCGGACGGATCCTAGGGGAACTTTGTGTTGCCTAATGGCCGGGTTCATGTTGTAGCGCATCGGTTCAGCCAGTTGCCTGTACAAACACCCGTCTCGCTGCAGTATCAACCCCACGTGAAGTAGTTCGGATCCTGACACACAGTCGCCTCCACGCGTCTAGCCGCCGTACACCCCCTCACACCTCCCGACGTGGAATCTGTCCCTGCAGGCTTCCTGTCCTTTACGTTCCACGGACAAAATTCCAACGTTTCATGTGTTCCTCTAGTTTGACGACTCATTGTTGGATTCACGGAACGGCCGAAGCTACCCGAATAGCGTCTCCCCTTTCTGTGCTAGTCAACCGTAGCTCTACTCTATAGATACCCCCGCTCTGATCGAAGTATAGTGTTTACTGAGTTCAGTTAGTTAAAGTTACCTTTGTGAATCAGTATGCATAGCTATTTTGGACAGTAGTCAAACGCTTATCGCTTTTGTCTGCATCTCCGCAGAGTAGTCCCTCCGCTTTGCCTGTGGTCGGTCCATTCGACCACCCGTCAGTCTCTGCCGGTTGGCGATCTAACATATGCCTGCTTCTGTCTTTTTAAGTCCCGGGGTAATCTCCTCTTTCTGCCTTCAGACCGCAGCCGCCAGTAACGTGGTATAACGGCGACATGTTTCTCCCGAACCAAGGCATGAGTTTCGCGCACAGTTCAACTGCTGACTATGCCAACCGACCGCAAATGCTTCCAGTGAGTCCACTTCTCCAAAGAGTCAATCATTTTCCTTCCATAGTATCCCCTGTTTGGTTCTACCTACCCCAAGTTGTTCGTCTACAACAGGCATTCTCATTGGCGAATTGAGGAAGATGCCGGTAGACACGAATGTTCCCACTGGACGAGCATATCCTCTAACTTGATCGGTGACCTGATCGATAACGAGTGTACCTATTAAGTTTTTACCAAACCCGATGCACCTGTATTGGGGTCCATGCAGCTTGGTATCAAATTAGAAGGAGTGTTATCGGTCTGTGGGGTTTAAAGGGTATGATAAAGAGAAGAAAACGAAGTGGTGAAGATAAGTCTGTTTTCTGTAGTTCTTGCAGCCCGGTGAAACGATTACCGGATAGGTTATTTAGCCGCACAAACCTTTCTCGTAGGTTTCCACCTTCTGCTTGCATGCAGACGATCAGCTAACTAACTTTTGGCCATGGCAACCTCATGGTCTGGGCAGGGTGGTAGTAGTACCCCCTCTTTAGTTTTACTTCCCCCAAGTTGTTGTTCGCCTGCAGACTGCCAGCAGCAGCAACAACTGCAATGACTGACACGGCGCATCACTCGTTTCCCTTAACTTTTTTGCAGACATTCTCATTGGCAAATTGAGGAAGATACCACAGGACAAGCATATCTCGTAACCTGGTTGATAACGAATGTCCCTACTAAGTTCTCATTAAATGCGACTCACTTGTATCGGGGTGAATACAGCTTGGTATCAAATTAGATGGAGTGTTATCGAGCTGTCAAGTCCAGTGGGACGATAGTGGGATAAGAAAACGAAGTGACGGCAATAAGTCGGTTTTCTGTAGTTATTGCAGCTTGACGGAACGATGACGGGATGGGTAATTTGGTCGCACAAACTCCTCGTAGGTGGCCTTCTTCTGTCTGCATGTGAACGATCGACTAACTGCCTTTTGGCCATGGTAACCTCAGGGTCTGGGCAGAGTTCTCCTGACAGGACCAGATTACCGTCGCTTCCATTGCCTTGTTTAATTTTCGAGGAAATAAACGCGCGAACTTGGAGTAAATCCTTCGAAACAGACCTTTACAGGCACGGTCGGAAATTTTACATGCACATTTGAGATGAAATATATCAGCTACTGCGGAGTAACCGCGTAATATTCACAAACCACCAACAGGCAGCCAATGATATAGAATTGTGTAATTATTTACCATACTGAAAACACAGGTACTTGCTAAAAACTTTTGGCTTGGCAGTCTGCCAAGGCTCGCAGGAATCGCAGCAAGTTCACTACGGAGGGTCGACTTGATGAGCGAGTGAGCTTGCTTGGTCAGTTTTTTTTTCTTGGGGTCTTGAGAATGTCATCCATATATCGACCTCAGGCCCACCGTCTGTCAGCCTATGGTTACCCCCCTCTGTCCGCAGAATCGTCTGACCGTAGACACGCAGCACACAGTTCAAAGATAGTGTTTTAAGTGGGTTGTCTGGAATGCCTGTTACTTTCACTTCACACGCCTATTCTTGGTCTGTTCGTACACGGCTGCATTTTTTGTGATCGATTAAATATCCACTGAAAACGCGCGCGCGCGCTGCAAAGATTTCCTTCTGCTATGCTAACTTTTCAGTTCTACTCAAACCCGTTCGGAATTTGCAGAAATCATCATCACCTCCGCCGTCGCCAACACCACCACCACCACCACCACCATCATCATCATCATTGTGGTGTAGGTGACCAGTTGACGAAAACATCTGTGTGCTTCTCTCTTTCAGCCGCGCCAGCCTCCGTTCCAATGAAAATAACCCTCATCTGACGTCAGTAGCGTTCAGTGTGTGCGTGAGAGGGTCTGGGGCTGGAATGCTCGCAAGTTGAGTGTTGCCGCACAACCGATGCGCAGGCGAGATGAAGACAGAAAAAAGTGCGTGTGTGTGGGGTCCAAGGCCCCCACCCCCCAACCTTCTACCACCGATGTGCGCAGGGAGTCGTGTGACGCCTGCGTGGATCATCATGCCTCCTTCCCCCCTCCAAAGGGCCCGGAATCGTCAACTCCTCCCTCTTGATACTTCAATGCTTACGTTTGTTGATTCCCTTCATCCATGCTGTCCTGTTTTATTTGTTGAAGCCTTTCGCTATCTTCCACCTGTTTTTGCCTGCTCTCGGGGTGCTGGGTTACTCTAAGGAGTAAGTGAGTTTTCACTCGGCAGGAAGAGATTCGAGAATTCTTAACCCCGGTCAGAAACTATCCGCCCTAACTGAGACCATCGATGTCAGTGCTGAATCATCCAGAAGCACGTTTTTATGATCCTGACCGCCCGACCGACAGTCAACCTTCCTGACAGACCGATACGGCTTTATTTCAGGCAAGAGTCCTGATTTCTTTGAATAACTGACTGTAATTTAGGCACTTAACGCGACGACTATCACCCAACCTCGTGGATAAAGTAGTGATTTGTGCTTGGCTTTGTTTACAGAGGAGGGCTTTGCATCAGCTACCTCGCCGTAATGAAATACGAAGTCAAGGCCAAGCGGACTAAAATTTCTCTTTGACGCAGTGACCGACTTGACGCAAATCCGTCTACGCGTGCCACAACGCGGCTACTGTGTCTGACGGCGCAACCTTTCTTCACGCGTACTGACGCCGGCCAGGATCTGACTGTTGCGCCCTGCATAGCGTCTTGTAACCACAAGTGGAAGTTTGGTACCAGGTGTTCTCACTCTGGAGGGACGGGTTTGGGCCGCTGGGCGTTCGTTCCGACATCAGAACGGCTACTCCTCTATCACCCCCCCCCCTTCCGGGGCACTTTTACAGCTTTTGTCAATTTGTGGTTTCACGCCCTCGCGACTGTAGACTCATTCGCCCCCCCCCTTCTGGCTGAAAGGCGGTGGCCAATCAGAATGCGCTTCCGCCGCTCGGCTGCCATTTGAATTGCCGCAGACCTACGTAAGCCAATCCGGCACAGCGTCCCTATCTTAACCATGGGATTCTTTATGCGCGAGCAGAACAACTCAACGAAACGCCTCTACTGGGAGGGACTAAGCTGTTATGTAAGACAGGGGGCTCATTGAAGGGGTAGGAACTGGAAGAAAGCCGATATCTGCGCCGTCGTGACAGACAAGAGAAGATTTAGAACTAGTAGACAGTTTTTGCTATCTTGGATTGAACTTTCAGTCAAACGGCTCAAACAGGAGCATGCAACATTTTTTTGACTTCGTTAACCCTTCATGGGATCTTAGCAGAGCACAAAGTTTGGACCACACATTTCCTCGGCTAATACAATTTCTTTGCGTGGATATAAACACATGACCTGCACACTCGGTTTCAGTTTATCAAGCGAAATATGTGCGAGCGCCCTTGAACTCCTTATTGGTTACAAGTCGTCGGAGAAAAACATAAATAAATGAGAAGGTGAAAGAGGAATTTTGTACATAATCGCGGACAGCTGACAGCTAGTCGAAGAAGAGTAATCATTAACGGTTACGTACTAATTACGAGTAGTATAAACGCGTAAAATTTGGTGCCGGGTTATGTGAGTGGATGTGAGGCTGGTAATTGGGAAGCTTGGTACGCGTCAAGTTTACACTTAAAGGAATTCACACAAGGGGAGATTGCAACATCGGTAGGCAGAATAACCTTCCTCCGTTTCCGCAATCATCAAGAGAAATCCACAAAACAGTTGTTTACCATCCGCAAGTTCGTAGGAATCATTTTGCCTTGGACGATTTTATATCGTGCCGGCCCGTTCATAATCCGCATTTTCCGGGCTGTGTACTCCAGGTAAACTTATCTTGCCGCATTAGCTTTCCGAAGTAAACCGCAAAATCGAGACACGAAGAGTCGACCGGCGTTGTTAATAAGGCACGGCACGGTTCTATCGACGATCGAATTGACGACGAGGTTGTGATCGTGAACCGCGCCAGTCATAGCACTTCGTCTTTAACCAACCTGATGGACTGGGTTCCCTGTAGGTGGATTCCGGCCTCACCCACGCCTCTTGTGCAGGTCAGTAAAGTGGTTGTCCTCCCAAGGTACCTGCAACTCGCCAGGTATTCGTAACTCTCTTCCACATCCCGAAGCGACATCGAGTAGAACGCTGATCTTTAGGCAGGCGCATTATTCCACACAGGCAGACTTTACGAAGCTCTTCAACGGGCAGACTAACGTCAAATTTGTTCGAGTTGGCTTGCGTTGCCGACGATACGCCAGTGCGCGAGTCTTAGTAGCATGCAATTTCAGAGCAAGGGGACTGCGTTTTTGTAAGTAAACTGGGTTATCTTCCTTCCCATCCTACAGTTGATCGTTCCGCCCCTCGTTTGAGTACACTCAAGGTTTGATTAGCCATAACTGCATTTTTGGAAGTAAACTGGGCGATCTTCCTTTCCGGCCTACAGTTGATCGTTCCGCCCCTCGTTTGAGTGCACTCGAGGTTTGATTAGTCATGTTATCAGATGGTCCAGCAGACGAAATCCCACGAAAATCCAAAGATTAGCGAGCCCAAGCAAAAAGCTACATATGAGCTACTGGGAATAACGAAATAAAATACCGACGTGGGATTACAAATTATTGGCTGAACAAAGAGGAGAAAATTATTTTCGCATTGTATAACCTTGAGGGGACTGTTTTATATCAGAACAGAGACCTGTGATTAGTCGTCTGCGGACGACCAGAAAGTAGGTAGCGATCGGATATGTGCCTCTACTGAGAATACAGGCGGAAAAGACTCCTGTAATAAGGGAATATTGGTGATGGGGGTTTTTGGGTGTGACATACAGCCGTTTTCGGGAAGCTAAAGTAAAAATATACACATTGCCAATAGAAGCGAAGATACAGGTCCCAGGAAGAAGTTGTGAAGGAGACGCGATCGCCGGGACAAGTGTTTTATTATCCTGACGTTTTGGATTCCTGCTCGAACCCGTTTCTGCTTTTGTCTCCGATGATGGGTTCGAGCAGGAATCCGAAACGTCAGGCTAATAAAACTTTTGTCCCAGCGATCGTGTCTCTTTCTTAATATACACATTTACGTCCTAAGCTTGTTTCCATACATCGGTAAGACGCGAAAAACGGGCGTATAATTACGAATACTGGAGATTATGATTTTTTGCACGGGAGGAAACGATGAAACCGGGGTGTTGCTTAGGTCTTCCAAGCGACTTGGCCCCAGCCCGTAATGGCGCAACCCTTACCCCAGCCTTAACATCCAGTCCTAACCCTTATGGTAACACTGGGTAGGAGGGGACGTGACGAGAAACGTGTGAAAGTGCAAGGGGTTAAATTTAGCCTACCCAAATAACATAAGTAGGCATTTAATTGAAGAAAAGATCGGACGGGACCAATTGTCCAATCATCAAAAAGTATACCGAGGTATTCAAACGGGCGGCTCGCACTTCCGCCGGCTGCATTCACTTTCACATAACACCAAGAAGACTTTAATGACTTGCATATATAGGAAGCTTTATGTTCTTAGACTGTCGTGTTATTAGCTGATAATTTGTCACATTAATGGCATTCTTCTGATTCATTACTTGACTCACGACTTGTCCGAGTTTTAATTATTATCGCGGAGGATGTCAATGACCACAGGATTGGTGTCCTTAGCCTAAACTATACTCTGTTTAGGGAAATACATAGGTTAGCGCAGAAACCAATCAGTACTAAGCACAATTTAAGAGTAACTTTCTGTCACCCTGGAACCCTGTTTATTCAAATGTCAGTCAGGCAGAAATCAAGGAGCTCATGGAAACATGTCCTTTCTGGACCATTGACTCGAGACTGTTTTATGCACGTCTCGAGATTTTTTAACGAATAAAGAAGGTCTTAATTAAGAAACCTGAAATGGTAAATGGCTTCCTTGTCTACAGGGAGAATCCGCCGGACAGACAAACTGAGAATAAGTGACTAAATAACCGAGGAAAGTCTAATGCCTTTTCGATAATTAGGCCTGGAGTACCGCCTGTCTTCGGGTATTATGTATTATTTACTCGAATAAATCGTTTCCGAACCAGTTCAGGAGAGATGTACAAGGTGGAGGAAACCCACATTTCCGCAAAAAATATAAAGATAACTTTTCGGATTCAGTAATAAACTATTTCGCAAGAAACGCAAAGCAATACCTCTTTGTCAAAATTATCTGTGACGAGGTCTTACTTGTCAAATTCAAGGGAGGATTTCACAGTTTCACTCCCTGAAGGACCGACGAAGCACGAGTTGTACGACGAAATGGGCAGGGTTGGGGCTACTTTGTGGAAGTGATTATCTCTGTTTGTTTCAGACAAGACGCAATTTCCTGGAGCACCTGTTGCACCCGCGCGCATTAATGGCAGTCTGGTTTTTGGCAAATCACAGCTATCTAAACGGACAAATGAACACCAGGGCCGAGTCAGAAGTTCGTAGGAGCCAGGGTCTGTCTACAGTCTAAGCTACCGCGACAAGCGATCATATCTTGCGGCTGCATCTCCAAATGCTTTAGTTCATTGGAGAGATGATGAGCAATGGTATCACTAAAGTACAACGTCAGTATGAATTCCAAGATGCGTTCAGCAGTAAATGATGTGAAATAGCAAAGAAATGATTCATCAGTGGTACACCGAATACCCTATAAATTCAAAGATCTAACTAAGTTTTTCATTAAATCGCTGTCCACGTGATCGAAGTCAAGGTAGGATTGAAATGGTTTAGTTTTGACGTATTTAAATGTGTACCCTTTGGCCGTCTTTGTTTAAAAGGAAGAATTAGACGTTGTGATGAGGTATAGATTTATTTCGTTGTGCAATGCGTTTCGTAGATTGCTGTCACAGTTCTTACGACGGTAGCCGGACCTGTAAACAATGAACACTGTCATCCAGGATGTCCTCAGGATGCTTCTGATAAGCCATCTTTGTGCGTCTCGCTTGTAGAGGCTGCGGGACTGTCGCCGTACAATAGTTGCTTTGCCATTACCGCCGTTTTAGAGGCCACAGATGAGTGTGGATATTGGGGATACCAGTTTTTTCCAGGATTTCAGCGCTAGGAATCCTTTCCAGTCATTTTACATGAAACATCCTACAGAGACTACCGGGTTAAAGTGTTTTAATTTGGAGGGCCAGTTGGCGAGCCTACGATTGCTCTCGGTATATTCACGTCAAGCCAGTGCCTTTATATAAGAGCGGGGTAGAATCAAAAACCTGCCAATGATATGAGGAATTGATCAAATTTTGTCATAAAACACAGATAGAAGTGTGGGACTGTAGGGCGGGAGGGGTGAGGAACGAAGGTAAAAGCAGTCAATGCTAGGGTGAAAGCGTAAGGGCGCGGACAGTTGCCGTGTTAGTCAACTTTCAACCACGGTAGGTGCGGAGCCTGAAGATGGTTCTTCTGTGCGCAAAAGATTGGTTTTCGTTACCTGATGGCAACCTCTTCTGCTGTTGCTAAAAGGCGCTGACACAG